CATGTGTGTTTGTAACCACATGGGCAAAAATGTGTTCAAGCCCAGGTGTACCCCTGTGAGCCCCCTGCAGCATAAGGCAGCAGGCCCTGGGGTGGGAGGGCCAGCTGAGGGCTCCTCAAGGACACTTAGATCTCTAACGCTTTCCTCTTTCATCTCTGCAGAAATCAGAGGGCATTTACACGGTGAGTGAACTGCTCTCCCGGGCCTGGTCAGTGAGGGAAGAAGGGATTTTGAGTGACTTTTAGACCCGGTGGGAGTCTCTGGGCTAGGGGGGCCTGTGATGCCTGAGCTTCTCATCCTTTGATTTCCACCTCCAGGGCCTGAGCACCCGAAACCAGGAGACTTACGAAACACTGAAGCATGAGAAACCGCCCAAGTAACTTTAGACCAGATGTCCTTGTCACATCCTTCTTCAGCTTCCAGTTCTCCTCCCAGCGCTCATGGTTGGCATCGCCTATGCCTCCCCTCAGTTAATGCCAGCTGGCCCTACCCTGATAATGACTCTAAATCTAAGATTAATATCCACCAGTTTTCCTCCCTGGTAAAGACTTGTGCTAAGATGCTATTCATTGATGTTTCTTTTCTAGTCTTACTCCCTTCCCCTACCCTCTTTCCCTTCCCCATTCCCAGCTCCTACTAAACAATGGCAAGGAAGTACTGCCAATAAAGCTGACACAGACTGGATTCTGTTGATTCATTCATCATCTATTCAACCTCCACTGAGCACTGGACCGAATAGTGAAGTTACAGTTTTAAGAAAGGCGGATTTAGTTCCTAACCTCACAGAACACACAGGCTTGGTGACTTCAAGCTTGCTTTGTTGGATAGATGGATAAATGCTGGCTGGCTCGGGGGAGGGTTAGAACCCTTGACCCCCTGTGCTCTGGGATGGCCCTGGAGCAGGGAGTACACTGCTATACTGTTGGGAGTGCAGGCATCTTTGGACACATTAGGACAGGAGAAAACTGCACTGAATGTGGACTTCAGTGTCTGCAAGGTTGTGTTGTGGGGTAGCCGGTCTGTCTAATCCCAAATAGTCACCAGCACAGATAGGACTGATCCAGTACATGAATCTGAGAGATAGCATAGCTGATTCAAATATGCAGAAGAGGGAGTATCTAGGGCTATGTGAAACTCCTAGTAGAGGAATTTTCAGGGGACTAGGGGGCAAGAGGGACCTTAGAGGGAGGCTTGGCTAGGAGTTGGAGATGGGAAAGGCAAAGGGGAGCAAGTTGGGTGCAGGTGAAAGTCATTTCATCCAGCACATGGGTGGATGGCCAAGGAGTCCCCTAGAACTGCCCGAAGCTCTTCCAGCTCTACCTCTGGTCCAGAAATCCTTCCAGAACAGATCTAGAATCTCCAGGTAACTCCTGGCAACCCCTGTGCTGGGCAGCACTTTGTACTGCATCATAACTTACACTTTCCAAACTAGCTTCAGCTACTTGTACCAGTTGATCTGTTCACCAGCTCCCTGGAGAAATTTGGTCTTTTTTTTTTTTTTTTTTTTTTTTTTTGTATTTAGGACAGTGTGTACAAGGCGCACAGGGTCTAATTGGGTAGATTGGACTCAGTGATTCTCCTATTTACAGCCTCCCAAGTGCTAGGATTACAGGCACACCACCACACCTAGTCTCAATCACCTTTTTTTTTTTTTTTGGCATGCCCCAGGGGCAAAGCCTGCATGGCAGGCCCAGGCATCAAACTCCCAGCCCCTGTATCTGCCTAAGCAGGTGCTTTAATCTGCTGAGCTATTTGGCTGGCCCTTAGGCTCTTAAATTAATCTATCTGAGATCACCTTGATGCAAATGACTGAGATCTGTTTGTCCCTGCACATTTGCCACATGAGAAAGTGTGGACATTTTGACAGAAGAGGAGAATAATCATGAATAGTGTGAGTCCTGAAGCCAGGCTTATGTGGTTGGTCACTACCTAAAAGAAATTGGAGCCATCTCTACTCTCTGGTATTTCAGATGAGATACAAGAAATAAGCCCAGGTGGAAAGCAACTACTTTAAAGTAGGGAGCTGGGAGTGTAGCACACTGGTAGAGCCCTTGCCTAAGAGGTAAGGTCCTGGATTTGATCGGCATCATTGTAATAAATAAAGTGGAAATACATTTTTATTGGAAAATAGCTCATTTTCCTTTGTCCTACATTTTTATTTTATTTTATGTTATTGAGAAACAAATATCAATGAGACAGTTTCAAAGCTGATTGATAGGACAGTTTCAATAATTAATACATTGTACATTGTTATCTTCTTAGGGTTATCCATAGTACAAGAAGCAGACAGGATATCCTGTCCAAACACTATTAGTACAAATCTTTCTTTCTTTTTTTTTTTTTTTTGTACAAATCTTTCTTCTCCTTGAATTAAGTGAAAGTAGCTGTATATCTATCCTAACTATTCTGTATATACCACTTTTTTTTAAATTTTATTTATTTATTTATGTGTGTGTGTGTGTGTGTGTGTGTGTGTGGCCAGCTCAGCCCACCAGGGGGTGGGGCTGGCTGGCATGTGGTGCTGGAGGATTGAATCGCGGTCCCTGTGCTTTGCTAAGCTTGTTCTAAGTAGGTGCTTTAGACCACTGAGCCATCTCACCAGCCCCTATTTTATGTTATTGAGAAACAAATATCAATGAGACAGTTTCTTTTATTTATTTATTTATTTGTGTGTGTGTGTGTGTGTGTGTGTGGCCAGCTCAGCCCATCAGGGGGCGGGACTGGCTGGCATGTGGTGCTGGGGGATTGAACCGTGGTCCCTGTGCTTTGCTTAGCTTAGCTTGTTCAAAGTAGGTGCTTTAGACCACTGAGCCATCTCACCAGCCCCAATGAGACAGTTTCAAAGCTGATTGATAGGACAGTTTCAATAATTAATACGTTGTACATTATTATCTTCTTAGAGGTTATCCATAGTACAAGAAGCAGACAGGATATCCTGTCCAAACACTATTAGTACAAATCTTTCTTCTCCTTGAATTAAGTGAAAGTAGCTGTATATCTATCCTAACTATTCTGTATATACCACTTTTTTTTTTTTCGGAACCGGGGATTGAACTCAGGCCCTTATGCTTGCCAGGGAAGCACTTATTCCACTGAGCCATCTCCCTAGCATCTCCCTAGCCCTCTAACTATTCTGTATATACAAATAAAAAATTGTCTTTTCTTTGTATCCCCTTTTTTCGTTTAGTCCTGTCAGAGATGGTATTCCATTGGCATTTAAATACTATAGATGCATGAATTCAGCAAAACAATCGAACACAGTCCAGCAGTCCACAATAGTAGTGGGTTATCTGCAGAAATTGTTGACTAGAGCCTTTTATAGCTCAGTATATTAATATGGCTTTACATTATATACCTCGTTTTTATACTTTTCTGCTGGATGGCTAAGACCAAGGCAAAGCAAGACCTATATAACAGGAAATGTAACTTTTGTATCTGATAAGGTCAGTCAAGTCGCCTCAGGATTTATCCTGTAACCCTGTACTGCACTTTGTAGATCCTTTGTCAGTGTCAGCCATGTGGATGAGTCACGGCCATTGCTTGACCAATTTGCTCTCTGTGAAAGCCTGAGAGAAAGTTTTCTCTCCATGTGATGTATAGGCACACTATACATCATCGATCACATTCCTCTGTGGCTCCATAATCTCCTTGATCAGAAAATTTGGGGCATAACTGAGTTACATGATGTTACAGTACATGTTCTCCTATGTCCTGAGTCTTCACTGACCTTGAAAGGCTAGGGCCAAAATGTTGTCTGACCTTGCAGCCCTTCCTTTTCTCCAATTTTTGATCTGCAAACTTAGGTTATTAACCCTCCAGAAGAGAAGCTTATTATTACCCTGCAACATATGCAGTTCAGTTTACCCTATCTGTCTAAATATGAAACATCTTAGGCATAACATGGAACAGGTATTTTCCATCAAGTATTGATGTGTTGAACTTATCCTTACAGAATATGAAGAAAAAAAAATTTAAAAATACTTATTTATTTATTTATTGTGTGTGTGTAGCCAGCTCAGCCCACCAGGGGGCAGGGCCAGCTGGCATGCGGTGCTGGGGGATTGAACCAAGGTCTCTGTGCTTTGCTTAGCTTAGCTTGTTCTAAGTAGGTGCTTTAGACCACTGAGCCATCTCACCAGCCCAAAAAATTTTTTTAAAGATAGGAATAAACACATATTTTTACATAGAAATTTAGAAATCTAACCATATACAGCATTGTAGCATGTCCTACATTTTTGATTTGTATTTCACCCACTGACTGATCCTGATCTCCATTCCAGTTTGATGTAATTTAGGCGTCACAGCTCCCAAATTTTCTGTACTGTCCTGTGTCCACCAAGTTAGATAATTGTCAGGGCTTTTTTTTTTTTTTTTTCCCCAGCTGGCTCAGCCGGCCCTGAGGGTGTGGCTGGTGTGGCATGTGGTGCCAGGGATCAAACCTAAGCCTAAGCTTGCCTAAGCAAGCACTTTAGACCACTGAGCTATCTTGCCAGTCCTTATCAGGGCTTTAAATGGCTTTCATGGCTACCGCTTCCAGGCTCTAAAATGGCTGTGTGGCCTGCTCCATGAACAGCTCCTGGATAGTGGTAGCCACAGGGCTGAGAAATGGACCTTCCCCACATGGGGTCCACATCAGAATGGAGGAGGCTCAAGCACTTTTGGGGAGTGCAGTAAGCCCAGCTTTCTCTTTTCCTATGAGATGAGAGAGTCCCCTCAGCTCAGAAAGTGTCTTGGAACACTGGGATAATTTGGGGGAAGCTTTTTTTTTCTTTCTTCTTAGAATAATTAGAAAGAAATTGAGAAGAGTTTCTGTAAGGAAAAGTCCAAAGGACATTTCATGAATTTTGACCCTTCTTCACATTATTTCAGCCTTGTAAACATATCAGTACCGGGGCCAGGGGATGGTTCAGTAGAATAAGCGCTTCCTTGGCAAGTGCAAAGGCCTGAGTTCAATCCCCGGTTTCGCAAAAATAAAAAATAAAAACAAAAATATCAGTACACTTAATTAATTCCTTTTAATAGAACAGACCATTCCAGAACAAAAGGCCCTCAGCGCCTCAAGAATAATGAAACTTGGGCTGGTGAAATGGCTCAGTGGTCTAAAGCACCTACTTAGAACAAGCTTAGCAAAGCACAGGGACCATGGTTCAATCCCCCAGCCCCACAGGCCAGCCAGCCCTGCCCCCTGGTGGGCTGAGCTGGCCACACACACACACACACACACACACACACACACACACACATAAATTAAAAGAATAATGAACCTTAAAAAGGAAAAGAATGGTGAACCTTATGCAAACACAAAATGGATCAGTTACCATGGATTAAGATAGATGACCTGATCCCAGAACAGTTAGCTTCCAGCTTCTTTGTTCTCTCCTATCCCAGCTCCCCACATACAAACCCCTTACTCTGCCAACAAGCTGCTTTGGCACTTTGGAGCCAGCGGTCCCTCTCAGGGTTTTAGCTCCAATAAAAAGTGCCTACCCTCATTTTCTGTAGTATTCAGAAGTCTAAAGCATCAGTTTATGCACTGTTCAATCTTTTCCTAGATCCATATCTTATTGAAAGACTCTTCCCAGGCCTGTAGGGACTGATTCAGTCTCAGGAAGGATCATAGGTACCCCTGCTCTGACTTCTCTATCATTTGTCTCTTTTTTTTTAATTTTAATTTTAATTTTTATTTTTTTTTTTATTTTATTTTCATATCATTTGTCTCTTGAACATTTTCTCTGTCCTCCATGCCTTTTTTTTTTGAGACAGGTTTTCACAAGGTAGTTCAGGCTCAGCTTGAACTCATGACATAGACCAGAGTGGCCTTGAACCTGCGTGGTGAGACTACAGACATGCACAGCCATGTGCCATCTCTCCAGCCCCCAACCTTTCCTTTTTTTGCAGCAGATTTACCTTTTCCTTCCTCCTACTCCTCCCCCATCCTACTATTTTCTCTGTTACCCAAACACATAAGGCTCAGACTTTGACTCCTGCATTTATTGTAGAAAATGGAAGGTAGGTAGAGAGAAGGGCTCTAGACCTGGCCTGTGGGTGTTCTGGGGCCAGCGGGGGTTGCAGGGCAATGATCTCAATGGATAGGAGGCTGTGTTTTTTGGGGGTCCATGAAATTGCTCAAAATGCTAAACAGATCAGCTCCAGCCTTCTTGACCAGAGGTGTCAGCTGCTCCTTTGTGTTTTCTAAGTATGTCCTGGATAGAGAGAGATTAGAGTCAGTATGAAGAACCTTAGTCACTGGCAAAGATGACAACAGATTGACCTAAGTTCCCAAACTGTAGACCTGGTCCATCTAGCCATGGAAAAACTCCTAGGAGGAATAGCAAACCCTGTACTGGCCAGAGGAACAGAGTCTAGATGCTGACATTCAAGACCTACTTTCCTGCTGCCTCTGTCTGTCTAACAGGTACACGGCATTTTTGGATGACAAGAATTTTTCTCTCCAGCTTAAGTCAGGTCCACCTTTACCCCAACCCTGAGCTCACTCTCCTGTAAGACCTCCCTTCTCCCCACAGTCCTATGACCCCTGAGCCCCTCTCCTTGAGACTTACTGGGCTTGAGTCTGAAGCTCCAGGACCTTCGTCTTCTCCAGCAGGTCCTTGCCATAGCTGGCTAGGGTCTGAAAGTACTGAGAGAACAGGCTCTGCAGATTGGACTCTTCTGCCTGCCTCCGAACCAGAGCCCCTGCATACACACACACACATACACACTCTTCTCAGCTGGGTTTCCAGTAACAAATCCTGGTCTGGTCTCCTGCCACACCTCTTCCAATCCCCACCCCAGCTCTCTGCCCTTTCCATGAAGAGTATCCTACCATGTCTTGGAAAGGGCTTTTCAGAGTTTCTTTCCTTTCCTTTTTTTTTTTTTTTTTTTGCGGGGGGGGGGGTGCTTTCCAGATTTTAGAGAGGAAAAGCTCTCTCTCTCTCTCTCTCTCTCTCTCTCTCTCTCTCTCTCTCTCTCTCTCTCTTTTGGTGGAACTGGGGATTGAACTCAGGCCCTTGTGCTAGCCAGGGAGGCACTTATTCCACTGAGCTACTTTCCTGGCCTAGCTCTTTATTTTTTGAGTCCTCTAGTCACCAGATTTGAATGAAGGGGGACACACAGAGTGACCAGGACCTCTGGCACTGTTCTCTCTTTGGGCCCCTTCTCCATGTGACACTCACCTTCCAGGCTGCAGACGGTAAGCAGCAGCACAGTCAGTGCGAGCAGCTTCATGGTGAAAAGGTGGCAGAGAAACAGTGCTGGGGTGCTGCTGGTGGTGGGAAGGGACACTGTAGCCAAATGGAGCCCTCCTCTAGAGGCCCACCCTTTGCATGCAGCCCACGCCCCTTGATCGCTCCCCATACCTGGTCAGTGTCTCTGTCCTTGGCGTCTGTTTCTGGCCTGGCTGGAGAGGCACAGCTATATACCAGTCCACTTCCCCACCCACTGTCAGGTGACAGAGATGGTGGGGAGGGACCTTGTAGGAGAAGCAAGCTGGAGGACAGAGGGTGGTGAGGACAAGCCAGGGGGACTCACTGTGATGGGGTGAGGGGTTGGGGTAAGGTCTTAGTGGAGCCCAAAAAGGTCCACTTCAGATCTGCTGAAGATTTATCCTTTTAGGACCTGCAATTATCAGTCCTTGGATTTTTAAATTTAATTTAATTTAATTTTTTTTTAATGCAGTGAGAAAGCAGAGTTCCTAGATCTCACATCGAACCTTTGGTAGCTCTATCCCATTATGGGTAGATTTCATCTCCTGAAACCTATATCCCATCACTGCACTTTATCACGGAGGTATTGGGAGAAAAAAAAAAAAAAGGAGAGTTGAGAAATCAGGGGGAGTAGTGAAGGGACTGTGGGGGGTAAGGTGGGGGGATCAGGTCAGGGTCTGAGGGCAGGCGCTATGTTTGAGTTAATATGTAATGAGATGGGGGAGAAAAAAAATGAGTGCCCAGAATGGCCCTCCTGGGCACTGATCGATGAGCATGCCCTACCCCCAGTAAAACAAATTTAGGAAATGGCCTCTGTTGTGTGTTATGGGTCGGTGCTGAAAGAAACGACAAGAAGACCTGATGAATGTAGCTTCAGAGGTCTCACTGAGATTAGTCTCTCTCCAAGGGAGCCCAGAGCCTCAGAAGCATCTTACATTTATTGAGGGCAAAAGGCAGCCTAAGGAATGTACATAATTACTTCAGTGAATGCAAAGTACTATCTCTATTGACTTCCACCATTTACCTAACTCTAGGTCCACACAAATGCTAGCTGTAATATCCCAAGCAAGGGATCAAAGAACAGGGTGCCTGCAGGAGAAGCTGTTATCTGCCACCTTGAATCTCAGCTTGCCGGGAATTTACAAGGACAGACAGCAGCTCTCCTCTGGGCTCTGTCTATGGTTCCCTGCTGTCTTGGGACATTAGGCTTTGTCTCAGATCTATATTTCTATAGGCCTCTGTCCTTGTGCTCTCAACCAGAGAGCTCTCACAGGAAAAGAGGTAAAAGGCTCCTGCCTGGATAAAGGTTGAAGGTGTCTGGTCACTTATTCACCTTATCTGTTCTAGGTGGTGGTTAGCTAATATTGAATCAGAGGGGCAAATAGCACTCCTGTTGGCAAGGCCCTGGCCCTCCTGTGAGGGAGGGAAGAGGTGCATCCGTCAGGCCCAGAGCATTTGGGTGGAATCACTAAACACGTATTAGGAGCATTTGTATCTTTCACTCTTTCGCCCTCAAAACTTACTTCCTTGTAACTGAGAGTTGGAGGTCGAGGTTGGGGGAGCTAATGAGGAGGTTAGTGACCAAAGGCTGAGAAATCTGTTTTCCCTCTGAAGTACATAGTGCTTGAGGGTCACTTTATTGCTTACCCCTGGCCCTGGGGTGAAGCATAATCTCAAGCTGAAGTCCTATTCCTATATTTGATTTGTTCCTTATGACTTGAGACTGGGAGAAGGGAGGGTTGACTCTAGAAGGCAGCTATTATTATTATTATTATTATTTTGGCAGAACTGGGGATTGAACTCAAGCCCCTGTGCTTGCCAGCCAAGTGCTTATTCCACTGAGCCATCTCCCTGGACCCAGGGCAGCTCTTAAAGGAAACCATTCTGCCAGAACCTGCTCCTCTATCCCTAAGTCTTATGTGCATTCCCATTTCACCATGAGGGCCAATAGGAGAGCTGAAGACCCCACTCTGTATGAATAGCAAGGACAATATGGCCGATGTGAAATATGCTTATGTACGAAATCTATTCCTACTGTAAATATGATGGGTTCCTACGATGATGTCTAGGAAGCCAACTGATATTACAACCCAAACTCTTCCTATGTGTTCAAAGGGCTCTTTTTATCCCAGGTCTGTGTCCTTGTGAGTGGAAGAGTATTGTGAAGGGCTGGGAGGATTACCCAGAGCCTCTGTGTGGGGTGCGTGTGTGTGTGTGTGTGTGTGTGTGTGTGTGTGTGTGTGGTGGGGTGACACAGTTTAAAAGAAGTCTTCATCACCCCATAATCCCAGCACCCTGGAAGGCTGAGGTGGAGAACGTCAAAACTGGATCCCAGCGTGGGCAATATAAGGAGTTTAGTGAGACTTCGTCTCAGAATTTGAAATAGAAAAAGGGTCTGAGGGGCTGGTGAGATGGCTCAGTGGTGAACAAGTCTTTATAGTTGTTCCTTCAATCATCCTTCACAAAACTCAAGTGTCAAGGCAGTAATTTATTTATTTTCCTCTCGAGATATGGAAAGAGCTTCATTGGCCTCAGTGACAAGACGCTCCCTCTAGCGTCTTGTAGTTCGTGGGTTCATCCTGATTTTGCAGAGGCCAGCCTATCTAAACCCTTCTACGAAGACGCCACCAATTAAATTCCGCCCGCCTCTGCAGTACTGGGGTTGAAGCTCTCGGGCGGTCAGGCCCGTCACTCTTCTTCTTCCTCCTCTTCCATTGGCTATTGGGAGATCGCGGCGCCTTTTTCATGGATGGGGAGGAGCTCCCAGAAGAGGGCTGTGTCTTTGATTGATTTCTTTGCCCGGTTCCAAGATGGCGCTTATGACCACGCTAGGAATGCTGCGTGAAGCTTCAATTCTGCCATCACTCAAGATGGCTGCCCCCATCAAGATGACCGGGGTGTGCCTTGGGGAAAGGGGCAGCAGGATGGTGTGAGATGGTAAGGACTCCTGGTCCATTGTGGGCCTGTTTGTGGGCCGTGAGAATGAAAAACAAGGAGACTAGCAGGATAGAGGAGGTCTGTGGTGAGAGAGATGATTAAAGAATGGGAGAAAGGACAGGGGTGACAAGTGGGGGTGAGGGATCAAAGATGGGGCGGGAGTGTGTCTGAGGTTCGGGCCCCTCATCGATGCGCTCTCCCCCAGCTCTTCCTGTTCCAGGTCTAGCATTGGACCATGTGGAAGTTTCTGGGACTGGGGAGCTGGGTGATGGGGGGTGGGGCTCGTAGAGGGGGTAGAGGGAGCAACACCGTCTTTTCTCAGGCAAACCCCGGCCCCTCCTTGTCCTCTGGACTAAAATGGGGAACACGTTGGGCCTGGCACCGATGGGGCCTTTGCCCCGTCGGAGCCCCCGCCGAGAAGAACCTCTGCCTAATCCTGGGAGCTTCGATGAGCTGCACCGGCTCTGCAAAGGTGAGAACTTGGCATCAGGCTGTCTCAAGTTGAAGGGGCAGAGGAGGGGAGGGGCTTGCATAGTGTGTATCCTTCCAGTGATGGCAGCAGGAAAGGGGAGAGCCTCAGGGAGGCTCAGGAGCCCAAATGAAGTGGAGCATTTTGTTGCAGGATTTGAAAGGAGGTCAATTCCTCCACTGCTTCCTTTGGGATTGGAAGGGGAGACTACCTCTTCGGGTAGGGGTTCCTTATCTGTGCTTATTCCTTCCCTTCCCCCCACCCCCTTCAGATGTATTTCCAGCACAGATGGAGGGAGTGAAGCTCGTTGTCAACAAGGTTCTGAGCAGCCATTTCCAGGTGCTCCCACTCCTCTGGCCCCTTCTTACAATTCCTTTCTGCCCGTCCTAGATCTTCCCCTTTGTAGTCCAGCATTAATCAGGCTATATGGGACAAGTGAGGGAGGATGTGGGGCTCTCTGTACCTCCCTTGCCTTTGGGACTTGTTGCTTTAAATTTGGTGACTCTCTGCATATGCTGGAGTCTTTGTGATTCTGAAGAGTCCCCCCAGATGGGGAGAAGGTGAAGGGTGGGATGAAAGATTGAAATGAAGCAGGAATGCTGTCTTTTTCATTGTCTCTTATTTCCTCAGGTGTCTCATACTGTGCATATGAGTGCCCTGGGCCTGCCGGGCTATCACCTCCATGCTGCCTATGCAGGGGACTGGCAGCTTAGCCCTACTGAGGTGAGAGCACCACATCCCCAGGTCAGCTCCCTAAAAGGTCACTTGGGACTTAGGGCTGGTGGAGAAGGAAATGCATATGTTATGGGGAAGAGTGAGCTGCAATCGGATTCTTCTGACTTTCCTCCAAATGGGAGAGGGTAGAGAAATATTCCTGGGTGTGAAGATGCCAGAGTTTGTTTTTGTGCTGCCACCAGGGGGCGCAGGACAAGGTTAATGAAATCCCACAGCAGTATTTGGGTTTAGGGTGAGTGGTGCTCTCCAGCTCAGGCTTACTGTGTACACTCCTCAACAGGTGTTCCCCACGGTGGTAGGGGATATAGACAGCAGTGGCAGCCTCAACGCCCAGGTCCTGCTTCTGTTGGCAGAGCGGCTCCGAGCTAAGGCTGTCTTCCAGGTGACCCCCAGTTCCTGCCTCCATCCACTGAGGCACTTCTCTTTCTCCTCCATGGGTATCCTGCCCTGTGGGACCCAGGGGAGGAGCAGAGGCAACAGTGATCACAGAGAGAAGGAGGGAGACTTGACTTCTGGTCTCCCGCTCAGACGCAGCAAGCCAAGTTCCTGACATGGCAGTTTGATGGCGAGTATCGAGGAGATGACTACACAGCCACTCTGACCCTAGGAAACCCTGACCTCATTGGGGAATCAGGTGAGGAATTGGGACAGGGTTCTTTTGCTTGGTTGCCTGTTTGCTAATGTTAGTTCTGCCTCTTTGTCTTCTGTATAATTTAGGGCAGTGATAGCAAAACTTTTAGAGACCAAGTACCCAAACTGCAACCCTAAACCCACTTATTTTTTTGCAAAGTCCCAATGCTACAATTAAACCTCAGTTTGGAGGTGTTTTTTTTTTAATTTTCAAATTTATTTTTTTGCGGGGGGGCCAGCTCAGCCTGCCCTGAGGGCGGGGCTGGCGCAGTATGCAGTGCTGGGGATTAAACTGAGGTCCCTGCTCTCTTGCCTAAACAGGTGCTTTAGACTGCTGAGCTATCTCCCTGCCCCGGAGGTTTTAGTTTAGAAAAAACAACTCATACACTTGGCCTGTGAGGCACCTCGAGCATGCATGCCATTAGGTCCACCAGCACTGGTTTAGGGGTTAGAGAAGGAACTTCTCAGGTAGCAGGCAGGGATGGGTTAGCTGCAGTGGGGGTACGGCCCAACCTGGCCTCAGTGACTGACTCCCCGGCTGTGTGCTTCCCCTCAGTGATCGTGGTCGCTCACTTCCTGCAGAGCCTCACTCAGCGGCTGGTGTTGGGAGGAGAGCTAGTTTATCACCGGCGACCAGGCGAAGAGGGAGCCATCCTTACCCTGGCTGGGAAGTACTCGGGTATGGAGTCCAGCGGCATTGTGACAGGGAAGGACAGTTGGGTACTCTGTTGGGGTTCCTGACCCATGTGCCTCCGTAACATTCCTTTTTCTCATCCTTTGCTTCTCACAGCTGTACACTGGGTAGCTACACTGAATGTGGGATCAGGCGGGGCCCATGCGAGTTATTACCACAGGGCAAACGAACAGGTGAGGCTTTGGAGCTCATTCTCATTCTAACAAGTCAGCTGTCAACCTGCGCTCCACCAGACCTGCACAATTTCTGCTGGCCGAATTTTTTTTTTTCCCCCTTCTCACTGGCATTTAAAAACAATGAGTGCTTATTAGTTACGCAGATTAGTAGACTTCATTTTTACATATTTGTATGGGTGTTTCACATGCTTTGGTCTTCTCCAGCCTAGTGTTTTTCCTACTCACACCAGGTTCACACTGTCATGCTGACTTCATTCTGGGGTCCCATGTGAGGACCCTTCTGGTTTTCACTGAGATGGGCCCCCTCTCCTGGCTCTTGTTTCTCAGGTTCAGGTTGGAGTGGAATTTGAGGCAAACACAAGGCTACAAGACACAACCTTCTCCTTTGGTTACCACCTGACTCTGCCCCAGGCCAACATGGTGTTTAGAGGTGCGTGTCACTGCGATGATGTTTGGAAGTGCTGAAGAATCTGGGGATATAGAGGGAGGGAGGCTCTACCTTACTTCTGCAGTCTCCTTTCTCCAAGGCTAGTTATTTCTCCTTAAATAACTGAGTCGTTCTGCCCTTCCCTCACAGGCTTGGTGGATAGTAACTGGTGTGTAGGTGCTGTGCTGGAGAAGAAGATGCCTCCCCTGCCCGTCACCCTGGCCCTCGGAGCTTTCCTCAATCACTGGCGCAACAGGTTCCACTGTGGCTTCAGCATCACGGTGGGCTGAGGTTGTTGCGGAGCTGGGCCCACAGCCGCTTGAACCTCTGAGTCAGGTGCCCTAGGGCCAAACACTAGGCCTCTCTCCAGAACCCACCTTGCTGGGTGACTCTTAGGTCTCAGGAGCAGTGGGGGACAGGACCACGCCCTCCCCAGAACTGGCGCTGCCACAGGGTCAGCTGACGAGGCAGTGGTTTGAGGCTCCCACTTCTGCAACCAGGCCCACTCTCCCCTTCCCCAGGCTGTGGCATTGGACAAAGGGAGAAGGATGAAGGGGTGTGTCTGGCTGAATTTTCCTCCTCATGTCCTTGTTTTCCTTTGGACTGAAGAACCTAACCCCTTCCTCTTCAGAGCAGAAAATTCTACATCGGACTCACTCCGCATCCTGTTTGCCCATCCCACAGCCTGCAAAGGCTGAGAAAGTAGGGCTGATAGGCTGACTCTTCAGCCTTGGAAAGTGGGCGTCCCCATTCCCAGAAGGAACGTTACCTCTTTTTCCTCCACATTCTGTGCTTCCAGAGAACAACTTTGTCCCTTTGGTGACTCCCACAACTGCATGAAGAGGCAGTGTCTGCTTTTGTCTTTCATTGTAATCACTGAGCTCCCTTCCTCCTGGCCCCAACATATTGTTCCAACAATTTCCCCTTTCTGGTCCAGTGCAGCCCAAGAGGTTGGGGAAGGAGGTGGGCCTGGCCTCAGCTGAAGATCTCCTGGAGCAGTGGCATCATGGTGGGCAGGCCCTGGATGAGCTGGACTTGGTCCCAGTATTTGCTGTTAATACTCCGGAGCTCTGCCAACATGCCCAGCATCTTCGCATACCGAAACCTTTGAAGGAAGCATTGGGGAGACTAGGGAGGTAGGAGGGAAATAAGGCAGCTGAAAGGTCTTTCCTGAAGTCCTGATTTCCTGAACCATCCCTCAGTGATGCCAAGTCTGAACATTAGAGAAAATCATGCTCTGGTATGACAAATTTATCAAAACTTCCAACCAAAAGTCCCCAAGGGGGATCTCTGACACTTGTCTTCTCTCACCATGCAGTTTTTCCTGAACCCAGAGTTCTGAGGGCCAAGTGTAAAGAAAGCCCCTGACTTGGCCAGAACTTCATTTGTACAGAATCTGAGGGTCTGACCTTTTAGAGCAAGCTCTAGAAGGTGGACTTGTTATTCTGTGGCATAAAATATCCCCTTTCTGGCAAACTGACTCATTCATTAAGCAGTGAGCAAGACAGAAGTGGTGCATACCTCAGAACCTATGTAGATTATAGACTACTGACCAGGGGTTGGCCTTGGCCAGGAGACTGTGAGTGACCATAACTTTAAAGGAAATGAAAAATCCAAGGAATTGGCCCAGTAGAAAGGAGAGAAAGGGCCTAGGAAGAAGAATGAACAAAACTCTCTGTGGTCTGCTTTGAGATGTTGGAGTGGCAAGGTGGTAGATGTCATCAATCTCAGGAATGCTGTTATACCGAGCCTGTGAGCTACTACTTTGCATCTTTACTGAATTAAAAAAAATGTCTAAAAAAGTAAGATGAAGCTGCAGTAAATGAAATTTGGATGCTGGAATGAATTGAAAGAGGGATGGTTTGCAGGAAGGACCAGAACCTCAAGAAACCTGGTTTTCCAAAAACAAAAGTATAGGAAGCATTTACCCTGAGTTCTGTGTGTCCCAAATGCAGCCTCCAAAACCCCACTCTCTTACCGATTTTGAGGCTTCTGTTGCTGGCCCTTGATGTAGCTGTCTAGAGTCTGTGCCATCCACTGTTGTAGCTGATCAATCTCTTCCCTCTGGGTAACTCCAGGCCGGTCTGTAAGATCAGGAGCCCGGAAGACCAAGATGGAGGGAGGCCTGCATGGTGCCCCCACGTTTGGAGGCTGAAGGGCTCAGGGTGGGTGGATGCAAGGGGCTCAGCACTTGGGCACAGGTGGCAAGGCCCAAGTTTCTGGGCTGTGAAAGAGGCTCACCAGGAGAGAAGAGGGCCATGGCAGCCAGGAGGACATACTCAGGCTCCTGGAGCTGTAGTCGTCTCAGTGTCCCATGGAAGCGAAAGACAAACTCCAGGTAGTCCCTCTGGAATCCCACTGTGAGAGATGTGGGGTTTAGGAGACTCCAGGTCACCTTCCCGCATGCCATAGTAAAAGGACACATGCCTTTGACTATTCTGGAACTGCCTCACCATGAGCTCCGTCTTCTATAGTGTAGCGAAGTGGCCCACAGAAGAAGTTTTGTGTTTGGAGACAGAAAGTGGTGTTGAGCGCAATCTGAGCCATTTCCATCGCTGCTCCCTTAAGAAGGGAGATTTGGTCCTCTATGGGCAGGGACCTGTGGGTTGCCGGAAAGAGGGGCACTTGAGACATAAACCTGAACTCCACAGAGAGGGAGAGAGATTCCTTTCAAACAGAGCTGGGTGTGATGGAGCAAGCCTGTAATTACAGCTATCTGGGAGGCTGAAGCAGAAAGATTTAAATTCAAAGCTGCCTGGGCAACTTTGTCTCAAAACAGGGCAGCGTGCTGGGGATGTAGCTCTGTGGTATAGTGCCTAAGGCCCCCAGGTTCACCTTCTAGTACCATTTGAATACAAATAAATAAACTGGAAATTTGAGACTTAGTCCTTAGACAGAAATGTTAACTTGATCAGTGGCTTTCAGGGGGTAAGGGAGTATACAATTTATGAAGTGCTTGCTTCCTGAATGTTGAGGGGAAGCCACTCACCGGAAAAGTGGCAGTTCTTTGGTGAACTTGATAACTTGCTCCATCATGAAGGTGTTGACATCTGCAAAATGCAGGAGCAGGGACTGCCCAGGGGCCATGGAAGGTGAGCGCTGGTGTTGGATGAACAGGTAAGCTGGAGGCTGCAGAGATCTGATGTGAGCCACAGGCCGCAGGCCGCAGGCCCAAGGCTGTCCTGTAGGCCTCAGCAGCCTTGTCTTGGGTTATTTGCTCCAGGCTGGGGTACTGAAGACTTGTCCTCTCTTGGTGCAGGGCACACAGTCCTCTCCCTTGGGATACTTTTTGGGTACCCTTTTGGTCACTTCCCAGCCCAAATCCTGCAAGGGCTCACCCTGAACTGAACAAACTGTTCGAACATGGTCCCCATGTGGCGAGTGTGGGCCTCCAGGAGGGTCTGGACCATCTCTTTCTGCTTGTTACTCATCTGTGGAGCTGCTTGCTGGGCCCGCCGCTGGGCTTGCCTCGCTCTCCGCAATGCCAGGGCTTCTGGTGACAGTATCACTGTGCCAGGTGGGAGACACAATGAGGCCACTGAGACCAGCAGACAGTATCTTTCTACCAGTCCCTGACTGGGGCCTCTAGGTGCCCTGAGCATGGAATGATGGGGGAGTGAAGAGAGTTTCATCACTTCCTTGAGCCTGGCTGCTCCAGGTGGCAGGGGACTCCAGCACACTTTCAGCAACCTGATAGGTGCGTGCAAAGCACCATGGAAGGCAGCTGCGCCATGAGAGAGGGAAGTGGGAAGCACAGTGGGAAAGCTGTCAAATGTTTGGCTTCTTAGTATCTAATGCATCTCTTTATGCTTGCATGGCATTATCATTTTTGTGCATGCAGTACTGGGGATTAAACCCAGGGCTTTCACCACTGAGCTATAATCCCTAGCTCTGCTTTTTATTTTGAGACAAGGTCAGGCACAAAGTTCCCCAGGCTGAGCTCAAGCATAAGCCTCCTGCCTCAGCTTTCTAGATTGTGGTAGTACAGGAATGCACTGCCATATCACACTGGCATAACGTCAAAGGTTCTAAGGTTAGATTTCACTGGATGAAACAACTCTGGTAGACGGAGCAGACAGTATTCATCTATTTCAGAAATGTAAACAAACTTAGATTCCAGTGATAGACAGGTCCAAGGTCATAAAATAAGTGATATAGACTGAATTCAAACCAAGAAGTTTGGCTTTTATGGCTTCCTTTCTGTTGCCCCATATTATAAAGTAGTTGATATCATGGAAAAAGTGAGTCTGGGAGTGAGACAGACTTCACTAGGAATATTGACTTTCCAACTTGTATGCTGCATGAACTTGAGCAAGTTAGTATCTATGAGCCCCAGTTACATCATCTGTGGGGAAGAAATTCTGGTTACCTGGCATGGAGAAAACATTAATTCAACAGTACTGAGTAGCTATACTAGGTAACAAGCATTGTACTCAAGAGCCAGGAGAGAAAGCCAGCCAGATGATATCCAGGGAAGAGCATTTTGGATAGAAAGAAGGCAAGCCCTGGGAAGGAGGGTGCTTGGTGTGTTTGAAGAAGTCAGTGTGACTGCAATGGATGGAGCAAGGGGGAAAGAGTTCAGAAATAAACCCTGAAAGGTGGGGTACAGGGGCTCCACCAGGCGATCACATAGTTTCAGAGTATGGGGAGCCACTGGAGGTTAGGGCATAATAGTGACATAATCCAACTACCTCCAAAAAGCTTGTTTGACTTGCTATCTTGGAAATGTGCTATTTGGGACAAGAACCAAGCACAGAGACACAGGTGATGGGCTCCTGGGATGGGGGGATGCCAACTCACTGTCTTTCCTCATGCCAGCATTCAGACACTTCTGCAACCTGCAGGCGGGGCAGTGTTTCCTCTGGCCCTTGATGATTTCACAGCTTCCAGCAAAGGGGCAGGTGCGGCCAGTGCTTTTGATGACTGCTCGTCTATAAGTGGGTGGTAGGGAACCCACAGGGGGGCACATGAGGAGGTGAGAGGATATGGTCTAGAAGACTTGGGAAGCTGTTAGCATGGGATAATCTGAGCGGTCTCCAAAGGTCCTCTGGGTGGATAGGGTATGACACATCTCAAGTATTTGATGGGGACACAGGGTCACTTGGGAAAGCCTGGCTGCCTTGCAGAGAGTAGGCATGTAAGTAGTCTTAACTAGTGGGCTGTGTGCGTGAGACAAATGGTTGGCACTTTCTATTTGTTGTGATACCAGTTTATGCAGTGTTGTGATCACCAGGGTAGACTTAGATACAGAATGTAATGTACCTGGACTAGCCCGGGCATGTGTCAGGGACCAAAGGCTGACTGACAGGAGTCTGGCTGGGCAGGGGTGTGGGCCGGGAGAGGGGACATTGTGTCTGCTGTGGAGGAGGCTCTTACCTGAAGAAGCCCTTGCAGCCCTCACAGGTCAGGGCATGGAAATGATAGCCCGTGGCTCGGTCCCCACACACCATGCAGTTCCTGGGCTCATCTTCTCCACTGGACATGGATTCAGGTGTTAGGGTAGTCATCACAGATCCCTGCATATGGAAGGAGCTAGCAGTAAGCTCTGGAAAGCACTTGACTGTCTTCTCTCCGTTCTGCAGAGCCTCTTCCCAAACCTGCCATGTACTGGACTTCTAACATTATCCTAGAAACAAACAAGTTCTTTTTCATTTGCTGGTCTCCACTATATTTCCTACCTGTTTGTTTTCATCAACATACAGCATGAAGGCCACAGAATCTGCTGTGGGATGCCTTTCCCAGGCTCCCATGCTGAACCAGCTTTCCATGGTGGTGCGTGGTTGGAGACTAGCCCTGGGCGGCTGGAGAACAAGAGGTGTGTGTTCCATGTTGTATATGGCCCCTGTAGTAGGGCACAGACTCTGGACCCAGGGCAAAGGCTTGGGTGGGAGGGTCCTAGTATGCCCAATGTCCTGGTTGGCGGCACATTGGACATTGTGTTGGGCAAGGACCTCATGACTCATGGGAAGCTGTTCCTTGCCAGATTTATGGAGGCTTTCCTCACTGCTGAGCTTCAAGGCTACTTCCGTGGCCTCCTATGTACATGGGTCCTGGATAAGCTGGGAAGCGAGTAAGTGCGGGTCTCTTCACAGCTATGTGGCAGTAGTAAAACAATAGGTATAACAGCTACATCATGAAGGCTGGGGAAAAAAGCTCAGAATAAGTGCTTGCTTGGCAAGCACAAGGGCTTGAGTTCAATCCCTGGTTCTGCAAAAAAAAAAAAAAAAAAAAAAACACCCCAAAACAAAACAAAAAAACCCTCAAAAACCCAGCTATATCAGACTACCAGAAAGAAGTTATTTTAAAAGACTTTATGCCAGATGAGTGTATGCATACCTGTAATTCTAGCACTTGGGAGACTGACACAGGAGAATCAGGAGTTTAAAGCAGACTGGGTTGTAAATGAGACCGTTTGAAAACAAACAAATGTAAAATGAAAGGTCTAGTTAAGAGTCTATGCATAGGGGCTGGGGAGATGACTCAGTGGAATAAGTGCTTCCCTGGCAAGCGCAAGGGCCTGAGTTCAATCCCTATTAGCAATGGCTGAGATTGGAGTGGATGTAAGAACTCTGCCATCACTGACCTTGTAGGTGTGCAACCTGAGCAATCACAGAAGATCATACATTCAGAAGAGTCCCGCTTGTTGGATTGCTGTACTTTGAAATAATGACTGTTTTGTTCGTTTGCTTGTTTGTTTTTGTCTTTTTGAGACAGGGTTTCACTATGCAGTTTAAGCTGGCTTTTTTTTTTTTTTTTTTTTTTTTTTTTTTTTTGTGGGGGATGTCTGGGAATTGAACACTTAGGATTTCATGCTTGCTGGGCAGGCACTGTGCCACTGGACTATGTGCTTGGCTTTTTTAAAAATTTTTTTTCCCAGGGGCTGGTGAGATGGCTCGGTGGTCTGGAACACTTACTTGGAACAAGCTTAGCAAGGCTCATGGACAGCGGTTCGATCCCCCAGCACCGCATGCCAGCCAGCCCCGCCCCCAGGTGGGCTGAGCTGGCCACACACACACACACACACATAAATAAATAAAATAAATAAATTAAAAAAAATTTTTCCCATAATTTTATTGATAAACAAATAGCAATGAGACACTTTCAAATCAAATTGGTAGGCCGGGGAGATGGCTCCGTGGAATAAGTGCTTCCCTGGCAAGCGTGAGGGCCTAAGTTCAATCCCCAGTTCCACCAAAAAATAAAATAAATCAAATTGGTAGGACAGTTTCAATAATAACACATTGCATACATTCTTCCTAGTGGTTAATTGCTGTACAAGATGCAGACATGATATCATATTTACAAACACCATTAGAACAAATCACTCTATTCATTAAGAGAATGTAACTATATATCTATCCTAACCACTT